CCTCCCAAGTAGCTGGGACTACAGGTGCTCGCCACAACACAACACCCAGCTATTTTCAGAGATGGGGTCTCGCTCTGGCTCATGCTGGTCTCAAACCTGGGAGCTCAGGCAATCCACCTGCCTTGGCCTCCCAGAGTGTTAACATTACAGGCATGAGCTATTATTGCACTAGGCCTCCTATTGCTTTTTGTTGTAATTTTTTTTTACTGAAATCCATTGGATAGAAATATTTTGGGGGTGCATGTGATAATTTGATATGTTCATATAATCCAGTCAAGATCATTAGTTTGTTCTGATCATTGGGCATCCAGTTAACATTAATTGATTGTACATCTCAAAATAGCTAGAAGAGAATAATTCAAATGTTCCTAGTGTTATAATTTTTAAAGGGTTTTAATGTTTTTTTTTTAATCATAGGGGGAAAAAACAGTTTCCAGCAAACTTGAATTGAAGTGGAATAGGATTTTTGACATCCCGCTGGTTCAACATGAGAATGGCTACATTCTTGTCCAGGAGGAAGAATGGTGTCAGTGCCCTGTGCCTCTGAACTAATTTCCGCAGCTTCCCGGAGAGCTTGCTTCCTCACAAAAGCATGACATTTCAAATAAATGTGACTCTTCTTTTTCCCCTTGGAGATGTCAAGAGTCCACGCATGTTTGTAGAAAATGCTCTAAGGTACTAATAACTGGGTATGATCTTGCCTTGCTTCCCAGAACATGCTTACAGCTATTCCATGGATTTTGGTAGAACCAGCTGGTCTCCCTCCCCATTAATGTGAGAATTTACTTCAAAGATTACATTGAAAATGTTTTTCTTGGCCTGAAAATCCTGATGCCAAGAATCTATCTACCTTCTAAGATGAATTTTGCCCATAAAATTAAGTTGTCATTGTTTTGAATTTTTAATAACACTAATTCATATGTCAAACGTCAAGGCCAAAATTTTTCATACACGTTGAATAGTAAATTTTAACTCAAAATTCCCATTTTAATGCCAGAAAAGTTATCCTTGTTATAATAATGCTTTCATGAGTTCTTTAAATATAATAGGAATAATGATATCAGAATATAATTAAATTTTGTCATTCACTTTGCCGAGACAACTAAATTATAGAGAAGACTTTGTATATAAAAGTTAAAAGGGTTTCATGCTTTTCAAGAGTGAAAACAGAATCCTAGCTTTAAGTTTTTAAAGGTAAGTATTTAATGAGCTTGAAATTGTAACATTTAGGCCTCTAAATAATCAAGACAAATGATAATTGCATGTTAAAAACATTTCCAATCAGCTTTAGTTTACTGCCATTGATGAACTGCTGAGGATGTAGCTCTCTGAAGGAGAAATCAAGCCTGGATTTGCTGTGTTTGCCAATTGCTGTGGTGTAAACACTCCCAGCATGGCTGAATTAGAACTGAGGACGGTTTAACATCCAGCTGGCAAGATTACTGCATGACCAGGAGCTGTGTACAGTCTGGTAATAAACCCTGACCCTAAATTTCTCTTTCCTTTTCTAATAAAGAATTCTGAGGTCAGGTGGCAACCCTCTTACCCCTAAGATCTATGGCAAGGGTTTGGTCTTGTACAGTGATTACTGACCATCTCCTGCCAGAGCAGATCTGAGATGCTCTGAGCACTCTCTCTCCACTAGGACGTCTTTCTCAGGGCATGGGAGGGACGTACTAAAGAAGAATCCCACTTTCTCTGTGCCTGGCTGCATCAGTCAGCTCCCCTAGTGCATCAGGCTCTGAGATGTAATAAGTAACTCTTGGGCTGAAAGCTTCATCTGTTTTTATCCCTGACAGATGCCCCTGCTGTATGTTCATTCTCCATAGTGAGTGATCAATAAATATCTGCAGAAAACAGTGAGTAGATAAAATAGTAAATAACTAACCCCCAAGCCGTGCATGGAAGTCGAGACAGAGAAAGCATGGCTACTGAGTTTCACATACACTCCGAGAAGTGAATCATAAACGATTCATAAAATCCCTGGTGTTTTTAGACCCTTCAGCTTGATGAATGGTTCTACCTTGAGAAACTGTGATTTCTCCTTTTTTGGTGCTGGTTTCAAGCAGAAGAGCTTAAGGAACTGAGCAAAGAGAAAACGTTCCTCGTGTCTGTCGAAGAAGCAAATTTTATCTCAGGGCTAGTCGCCTGTCAGAAACTGGGTCTTGTTTTTCTCACTTGCTCCTATTTTCTGCCTCTCCCTGTCCCTCCCTGCCTTCCCTCCTCCACAGAACATGTTCCTCCAGCCTCTGAGCCAACATGTCTCTCTCTTCTGCCTGTTCTCCGTAGGGGTTTGGCTGTCTGCAAAGGCAATTTGGCAAGGTCCGGGATGTGATACCACCCTTCTCTGAACAACCAGGTGTCACGGCAACTATGATGTTTACATCCTCACGGGTTCCATATGAAAAGAAACTGAGAAAAGTGGACCTCTCTCATTATTAGAGGGCTCAGCCCCCAGTGCTGTAACGGGTCTAACGAAAGACAGGGATAGGATGTGTGGCCACCCTGATGACATACAGTACGACCTTTTTAAGGTGACCACCCAAAGGACTGTAACAAACCGGTCAACACACGGAGGTGCTCACCATGAGGAACCAGGCCTGCTGTAGTGATGCGTACATGTGGTGCATGTCTGTCTAAAAAACTAGGTCAACTTAAGGAGGTGGTCACTGTAGGAGGTGGGCACCTATGGAGGGTCCATTTTATTTACATAAGATATTTTCAGGTCTAGAATTCCAAGCTTTTTTTTTTTTTTTTATCTTTTAAACATATCACCAGGAAATTGCCCAGATGTGAAGCAGAAATTAGAGAGATTCAACCTGGTATGATTTCTGTGGCAAATGGAAGGGCTATAATTTTCCACTTTAAAAATAATGAAGAGGGGCTGTGCACCCAAAGCTCAGTGGTCAGGGAGCTGGCCACATGCTCTGGGGCTGGTGGGTTAGAACCCTGCCTGGGCCGTCTAAATAAAAAACAAACAAACAAAAAATAATGTAGAGACTTCTTTTTAACCCAGTGAATGCCATGCTAAAAAAAAAAAAAAAATTTTTTTTTTTTATCCTTGGGGCCACAGTGTTTGATTAGGTCAAGAGAAGAGTGAGTTATATATGCTTCATGAGGCCCTGAGCTCAAAACTAGTGTAAGCTAAATGAAGTCATGTGGCAGTGAATGTGTAACAGTCAGTCTCTGGTAGGTGGTCCAGGTGAGGAAGGTGGGAGAGAGTCACGGAAGCACAGCAGGAGAATCACCCTGAGTTTCCTAAGGAGCCAAGAAAAGCCAGCATGCCCTGGGCAGTCCCGTGCCTCGGAGCAGAAACCCAAAGTGCTGTCCAAGGATTCAGGGGAAAAAAGCCCGAAATCCATAACCATACTTGGGATTATGACTTGGTTTCCTTTGTCTCTTTGTGCTAGATGGAAATAGCACTGTAAAATGGGTATCAGAAAACCCAGATTAGCTCTGCTAAAGTGTGGCTTTAAAGAGCCCCGGTTTGGCACTGTGACGGCAGGGGAGTATTTTAACTTTGCTTTAAATACCTAAACCTAGTAAATATACATGATGAGTAACAAAACATATTTTCAGTGAGTCACGACGTACCACGTTTGAGGCTGGGAAAAGGAAAATCAGGAAAATCTTCTAATGCCCTTCATTCATTCATTCACTCATCCATTTGCCAGCATTGAGCACAAAGCTAGAGGCTGATGAACGTGCTTGGAGCACAGGCAGGGAGGGGGCCTTTCAAGGAGGGGGCCTTTCAAGGAGGGTTTTGGGGACATGGATGCGTGACCTCCGGGGAGGAAGGGACACGAAGTCCTTCCAGGAAGAGGAACTTGCAAAGGTGGGGCGTAGCAAGGCACAGGCGGGACACAGGAGCTATGTGGGGGAAACTCAGGGTGAGAAGCAAAGGCCAGAAAAGAAGGCAAGCGAGGGTGGGGCCGCAGAAGAGGGGGCTGCGTCTCCTGGGGGAGAGGTGTCCAGGAGGGAGAATGACACAGCCCGGTGATCTCCTCCCTGGACAGGCAGATGGCCGCAGAGACATGGAGAGGAGGAAGAGGGCAGAAGAAAGGATGAAGCCTCTGCAGCAGGAAGCTGCCTTCCGATGCCGTCTATCCGTGTGGCACAGGCGGCACGAGGCATGGCAAGTGTGACAAGGTCTGTTTACTCACTGTTGGGAGGCTGCCAGCGCACGGCGTTCAAGTAGGCGTTGCAGTAGTGGAAGAGGAACTCGTGCTCGGAGCTCTGGGTTTCCCCCTGGAGCAGGGGCATCAGATCGTACCCATCAATGATCCTGTGTGAGATAAACCAGCCGGGCATCAGCCACCTTACCTTTGGACGGAGACGCCCTGACTTCTGAAATGCCCTTGTGACAAACCACACAGTCCCACAGAGCCACATGAAGAACGCTAACCCCAGCTGGGAGCTGTGGGCAGCCCCTTGCCCCAGCTCTGTGCACGCATCGTCTCATCAAACCTGTAAAGGGCAGCATGACCTGGGACTGCTTCCATCCCTACCGCACAGAGGACAAAACAGAGGCACAGAATGCTTAGGAAGCTCATCCGAGGTCCTGGGACCAGCGTGAGAGCTGACAGGGTTGCAACCCACACCATCTTCCACTCTGAATTCTTCCCCTCATCACTTCTCCAAAACTGGAATTTTCCTTGTTTGATCAAAGGAAGAGCTTTATTCATGAAATATAGATCTGTTGAAAATAAGGGTACCCTTCAAATTACAGTTTTAAAAAAAGACGGACTACAGTAGAACGTCCGTAAGTTGACCACGCAGGGACTGTAACAGGTAAACACAGGCCTGCTGTATGATATGTGCATGTGGTACATGTCCAGTTTATGAAAGGTCAACCTAAGGAGGTGGTCAGTGTAGCAAAGAGGTCAGTGTAGGGAAGGGGTCAGCTGTGGAGGTTCCACTGTATGGGCCCCAGGGCAACTTGGTTTGGAGAGCCTTCAGTGAAAGCGTATTTCTCCGAGAGAATAAACAGATTTGTATACAATTATGGTGGCATTATTAAATAGCAAGAGAATGGATTATTCCCAAATGAAAATGTATCTCCTCTACTACTGGGGTGTCTATCAAACTAGACCAAGAAGAGGGATTTTCAAATTGCAAACAATGGACGTAGCACTGGGGCTGAGCAAAATAAGCCTTTCTGAAGTTTCAATGGAGGGAGAAAGCCTAACATGGTGTTTTGAGTTAAACATAAATTAACAGCCACTTGAGAAATTGAAGTCATTGACACCATTAGGCTGCTGCCATCCAAACAAAGGGCAGAGAACTATTTTGGAAGAGCCAGAGTGTTTAACTGGCGGGTTCTCTTTCTCTGATTGAATTAACCCCTGCGTCCTGTCCTCTGTCGTTAGGAAGCGTTCAGAGTCTGGAAGTCTAGCGTGGCTCTGTAATTTGGGGAAGCGTGCTTGAGAGGTCTCGCGTCCCCTGAGCTTTTTCCTGTGGTTTATTTCGGTGTCGCTAAAAACCAGTAATGTAATTATAGCCTTGTTGCTTAGCGCTTCTCTGGCCTCAACCCTCGTTATTAAATCATGTGCTCTGCGGAAGTCTAAGGACTGAAAATATTCTATTATCATAAGTTAAAAATAAGAACAAAAGACAGGCTGGGCTCGGTTCCCAAGCCTGTGCGCCTGTTAACCACGCACAGAAGAGGAAGAAGCTTGGTGCAGACTGTTCCGTTCAGACACAGCAGACGTGTTCCCTCAAATTCTGCTTCCATCCTCAAAGGGCAGGCATTGTACATCCCTCTTTTCAAATCCCTTTCAAGAAAAGCTCAGGCCTTTCTAATGTGAGATCCTGGGTCAGGTTGACAGAAAAGAAGAGGGGAGAGGGCAGGTGGGCAGGTGTGAGACTCCCACCATGAAAAGCCCCCAGCTGAACAATGGTCTGGACGTTACAGACAAGAGTTAGTGGCTTTTCCATCCTCCGCCACGCCCACCCGAGCTGGACACACAGTCTTTCTGCGACCCCCGCAAAAGCAACATGAATCTTCCACTTTGGGGACACAATCTCTACCTTAGTTTCGTGACTGGGTTGGTTTTTTTTTTTTTTTTCATTTTCCGACAAAACTTAACAACTGATTTGAGAATGTGGGAGATGAAACTGCTGAGTTCAGATGAGTATTTGACAACTGAAGTTGGTCATGGTAAGGAGGAAGGATTCGTACCAAGATGCCAAGGCTCATTAATTGTTTTTCTTACTTAAAAGCAAGACATTTTTTTTTTCCTGTTTTTGAGGAGAGGAACAGAATCTATTCTGCAAACTTCTTTTTCTTCAAAAGTGGAGATAGATTCATTTTTTTAAAAATATCCCACACCTAACACGCTCTTTCCTAGAGGCCTACATAAATCACTGTGCTGTGGAGAGCCACCGCTTAACAGGGCTGCAGAAATACGGCCTGTCAAAGACAGACTCACTTCTGCAATAAAAAAGGGAAAGTGACCGTGTAGAGCTGAACTTTTAAGGGATGTCTAAGCTATCAAAATACTTGGGATTGTTTTATGCCACTTGTGGGATTCACAGTCAACCACGGCCATCACTTGAAGCATGGAGAAGACCACCTGCTGTCGCTGATGCTGAGACAAAAGTGTTTTTGCTAATGCCATGATTTGGGGGACATGGCCCAATCCACTTTCAAAGTCACAGAAAGCACTGCTGTTTTTGTGTGGAAATAGTCTGATGGGTCTTTTCCTGCAAAGGAATTCAAGTTTTTATAGCAAGTTTCTGTAGACATCCAACGACACAGAATTGGCTCAGTTTTTCAGTATTGTCCTCGTGACTCTTGGTGGAAAAAAAAAAAAAAGGTGCTCGTTTGGGTGTGTCCTTAAGTTGGAAGGTGGGGTTATTCCCCTAGGGCTCCAGAGACAAGGACAATACTGGTCCTAACAATCTGTTTCTCCGGGGTCTTCGTTTCAGAATTTTAGGTCCACAGTGCCCCAACATGGAGACAAGTGTCACGCAATGACAGGTAGCATGTCTTGGAAAACTTCTTGGGATGCTGTGGCCGGATTCCTGCCTGGAGGTGCTGAGCTCTCTCTTGTGTTCAGCCTTTGCACATCCTCATCTCTCCCCTGGGAATGTCCTTTCCACCTGCCCTTTGGCAACTCTGGGAATGATTGGAGGATCACAGGGGAAGGAAGAGGTTTGGGGGGCACCAAAAGGGAGGTCTTGGGGACCACCTTGGGGCAGAATGTTGATGAGCTGACTGTGTGTTATTCCAAACAAGGTGATTTCAGTGGAGAACATGATCACTAGGGGCACGTTTCTAGGCTACAGCACATCTATCTATAATAAACCAAAGGGAATTCTCAGTATCTGCAAAGACATCTCGCAACTTAGAAAAATGTGTACATTTGTAAACATGAAACCCTCCGTCCGCCACAGTTGAACAGGAGGGCTGATCTGTTATGAGTGGCTGCATGAACAAAGCTGCAATTATGAACCTTTTATGCTGCAAAACGCATGTGGAGTGGGCAGAGCCGCCTGACTCGGCCATCTGAACCGCTCTGGGGAAGAGACCTTGTCTGGTGACTCAGCTCTGAGTCCACACACTTTACTGGGAGACATGAACTCAATGCCTTCCTTATCCTCAGGTAAAAATAATAATAATAAGCTCTGCTAAACATTAATTTCTTTTCCTAACTTAGAGAAAGAATCAAATTTGATTTCATTTTAAGTATGGAACAGAGAAGACTGAGATGTGTCCTCTCTAAAAGGTGACAGTGCAGGACACCAGTGTCCCTGTCCCTTGCCTGAAGCCAAACGGCCTGTGGTGACAATTTACGTTTCCCAAAACCCTTCCCTGCCTATGGCTTGTGGCAAATTTCTATCAAGGTCATGGTCTTGACCGTGTTGCACCTGCTTTCAAAGATGAGACCCACAGAAGGCCGTTCGTTTTAATAAGCTAATACAGTCGATCAGATTCCTCTTTTATAAAGCCTGCGTCACCTGCTTTTTTAACACATACAAAAACGGCTGCCATCCACTCATTCCACAATCAGCTTACTTGGAGACATGGGGGGAATGATTTTTCTGAATCTGCCTGGAGTGATGACCACTGAGAATTCTTTTGATAAGTTGTGGCAGGGAATGCAAATGAGGGCCAGATGTGTGCACAGAGGAACACTTCCCCGCGTGGAGAAATCTGGGGAGCCACACAGTAGGGCTGCATTAGAGGGCTCTTCTCAGATGATGCCACAAAGCTAACATCTCTCCTGTGCACCTGTCCACCCGCTCTCTGTACTTAAGTAGAAACCCTGGATCTCAGGGCTTCTGATCTCCCACCAAGCTTTGATCAGCCAGGAGCGGCTCCTACCAGACACAATGCCTGCAGAGGGAAGCCTGTGGGACAGAAATTCTCTTCTGCACTCAAAGCGTACAGAGAGAAGTGAAGGCACCTTGTTAAGTGCTCCTCAAACAGCGTGGGGCCAACCCTCCGAGTGGGCGTCTTCTCCTGAGAAACGCAAATTTAATATTGCTTTAGTGGGAGACCGAGGGCGCTGACTTCCACCAACCTTAGTCACAAGAAGCTGAGGCTGTTTTCTAAAGGGTAGATGTCTGTGCCTCAAATTTATAGATGATGGAGACGTGAAGGTAATATCCAGATGTTGGTAGTGAGAAGTCTGGATGGGATTTTCCATCCTAACAAACTTCAGGGCAGGATTTCTCAGCCTCAGCCCTGCTGATGTGTGGGCCAGATCACTCATGGTTGTACGGGGCTGTCTTGGGCCAGATCGCTCATGGTGTACGGGGCTGTCCTGGGCATAGCAACATCTTGGCCTCTAAGGATGCCAGTAGCATCCTGAGCCAAGATAATAAAAAATTTACCCAGGCATTGATAAACGGCATCTTAGGGAACAGTCAGCCCCAGGTGAGAACCCCTGTATAGAGAATTAAACATCATTCTACAACGGCGGCAACACCACTGCTTCAAAGCCTCCCGGACAAATACACTACAATGTTGCAGACTTGGTTGGTAATGTGCTTTACATAAGCTATTTTGTGACGAGTTTATCAGCACAAGTCCTTGGACGTGCCCTCTGCAGGATGATGGCGGCACATCACAGTGTGGCTGTCCCAGGCCCTCAGATCCACACAAGAGACGGAACCCACTCCCAAGGCTGACGAAGGTCAGCTGGCACCACTGAGATGCGTGAAAGGAGCCGCCTCAGAGGGGCCTCTTCAACACCGTGAGTTCACTGTACTGATGACACGCGTTCCCCCCACGACACTTGGGACCCCCTTAGAGGGAGGCTGTGTCTTTCAACCACCATGCAGGAGAAACACAGATTCACCTGCCAGCCTCGGGCTGGAATAGGAAGGGGGTGCGCAGCAAAGCCCTCCCTGTGGGGATTCTCTTTTTTGCCTTTGAACTTTGCCCAAATGTGTGGAAAATCATTCCAAGATGCGCAAAAATGAAGAGCCATGAGGCTCTTAATATTATGGGCCATGAGAGCAAAGTGGACTGAAGGACATTGCCTGAACACACTGTTTTAGCTAGTTGAGGACTTACTAAGTTTACTCCGAAGTTGAAAACATGGGCCAAGGAGATGGAACAGGGAACGAGGGTTGTGCCTTTATGTTAGACAAGATCTTCTCTGAGTTACCGAAACCAGGTTTTCTGGTGTGAAAAAGAATAGTTTTTCAGAGTGCAAAAAAGAATGGTTTAACTGGAGTGGATCCTTAAAAGTCACCTCTGCCTTCAGAGTTTATGACTTTATGACCTTGAATGGATGTGAAATGTGGAAGAGGAAAGAACTGAGGTTACAACATCTTACCACTCCCACAGCAGGGCAGGAAGGATGGACACAGCCAATACCCAAGAGTTCTTTATTTTGCTCTATATGTGTGGGGAAGTTTTATCCTCAAATCAACCCTATAAAGCTGGTGCTATTACTGAACCCACTTTCCAAACAAGGAATTGAAGGCCCAAGAAGGTTCTGGAGACAAGGATGTGGACCCAATCGGCACAGCTCTAGAACGTCCGCCCTCGCCCATAGCACCTTCTGGTCTCAGTGGTCCAGAGACCCTCAGAAACCCGAGACCGTGTCAAGAGGTCTGGGGTGGGGGGCAGATTATTTCCACAGTAACAGGGAGAGGTCGGGGGGCAGATTATTTCCACAACAACAGGGAGAGGTCGGGGGGCAGGTTATTTCCACAGTAACAGGGAGAGAGGTCTGGGGTAGGGGCAGATTATTTCCACAGTAACAGGGAGAGGTCGGGGGGCAGATTATTTCCACAGTAACAGGGAGAGGTCGGGGGGCAGATTATTTCCATAGTAACAGGGAGAGGTCGGAGGGCAGGTTATTTCCACAGTAACAGGGAGAGGTCGGAGGGCAGGTTATTTCCACAGTAACAGGGAGAGGTCGGGGGACAGGTTATTTCCACAGTAACAGGGAGGGATTCTCTGTCTTTCTCACTGTCACTTTCTTAGGACTGCACAGTCACCTCCGGCGGGTGAATGACACCGTCACTGTATTGGACAATGAAATCGTGTGCTTGGGGTGCTTCTGTGTTTTTTTTTTTTTAAATTCTGCTTTAATTGCTAATATGATAAGCATTGATTGACACAGCCAGCACACATGAAGGATGGTCAGAACCCTCAGTCCCGGGCGAATGCACAAAGAGTCTGGAGAACACAGAGGCTGAGAAGGCCTGAAGGTCACCACTGCGTCCCTCACCTGCCTGTGCCCCTGAGTGTGTCGCCAACAGTGGAGACACAGGCTGGCAAAGCACGGGCGGTGGGGGCCCTAACTGCGCCCTGCTTTGGGGAGCTGTTGTGTTTAATTTGCTTTCTCCTTTCTTCTCCTCCTCATGGCAGCTGCATTTAAATAAGATTTGCAGCCGCCTGGATGACATTAGCCTGGCCTGCCACCAAACTAATGAAAACAATTAATCAGCAAGTGTCCCTTCAAACTCTTCAGGTTGGTAATAACACTGAAGGAGGACCCATTGGCAGTGTCAGGTGAAGCTGTATTTAGATGTGCAGGAAAGGCACTTCATTGAGATCTTGCTCCTGGAGATGTGCTGGGAACAGGGCCCTGAGCTGGGGATTAGATGCCTTTCTCTGCAGTGGAGGGAGAGCCAAAGAGGATGTGAGAGACCCAGGGGGCAATCACCCAGCTGCACGATATCCAGCCCATGATGGGGACAGGCAGACGGAGAGTGACAGCAGCAGCAGAGAGTGAAAGAGGAAGGCCCAGCTAAACGCCACCCATGTCCTTTCCTGTCCACAGAAATGCTCAGCGCCTCTGAGTTTCTTTCCCTCCAGGACAACAGGATGGTGCCAACCCGCTCATGTGCCCTGCCAAGCCCTGCCGCAGGTGGCGTGCCCTGATGAAGCCACCTCGGCCTGTGAAACTACAGCTAGACTATACCGGCCACCTCCAATCTGTACCTGTTCTCAGGGTCTGGGGACCCAGCCAGTCTGACCACCGTGGGAAAGATGTCCATGTTGCTAGTCATCGCATCTGTCTTCTGTCCAGCCGGAATCACGCCGGGCCACCGGAAGATGCCTGGAACCCGGATACCTCCTTCCCAGTTGTTGGCTTTGCCTCCTAAAATATCAGGAGAGAATCAGTCAGCAGGGAAACGTCAGGCTGTTCAACACTCCCCTGGATGTACCGTCCCCGAGTCCACACGGGACAGGAGCTCAGTGCCCTAATCACAGGCATGCAGTGAGTATTCTGTGAGCAAGTACACGCGGTGCCAGAGTAAAAGTTCAATACACGATACCGTCACCCCCACACAGGGCACGGTCAGCATTTTATGCTTGACAAAAACTAACGCCGACTCTGTAATCAGAAGAGACGAGGATATCAGAGCAACAGACGCTCAAGTGCAGGCCTCTGGGGTCAGGGAATTCAAGCCCCATTTCTGCTTCCTGCCCGTGGAGGCAGGTAAAAGAAGCGTCCCACCAAGTGTCAGGGTCCAAATCCTCAGAACCGGGGATATGGCAATGTTGCCTTATATGGCAAAAGACTTTGAAGATGTGGTTTTGAGGTATGCTGCCTTGTCTGAGAAGGTCCTTACAGGGAAAGAGGGTCAGGGAAGCAGGGATCAGAGTCACACAGAGAGGGTGGAAGATGCCTGCGGCTGACTCTGGGGACAGAGAAGGGTGTCCCAAGCCAGGGAGGCTGGCAGCCTCTATCTACAACCGTGATTTTTCAACTGCTGTGCCCTGAAAATTTTAAAGATCATTAATTAATTTTCAAAAGAAGTTCCAAGCACAGAAAATACATTCTTTTTTGTACTTTTTTTTGGATCAAGATAATTTAAGTGTGCCAGGGAAGTTTAACTACAGGGCCAAGTGTGCTGTTAGACAAAAATGGCTGAAGAACACCGGGTTTTGTTCAGTCTCATCCTCACCGTCAGTCTGTGACGTACACCCCCCTTTGCACAGTGAAGACAACTTGGGCAAAGTTTACATAGTGTATAATTTCTACACTGCTAGAAAATCACCGTTCTCGAGGCTGCCAGCTTCCTTGGCTTGGGGAGCCCTTCTCTGCCCTCATGGTCAGCAAGAGGCAACTTCTGGTCTCTCTCTGTGATTCCAATCCCTGTTTCTCTAATCTCCTCTTTCCCCTGTAAGGACCCTCTTAGAAAAGGCAGCATGACCTCCTCATCTCAAAATCACATCTTCAAAGTCCCTTTCGCCACATAAGGCAACATTCCCATAGCCCCAGGGTTCCACAGATTGGACACTGAGAGCTGGAGGGATGTGTATTTTGCCTGCCTCAGCTGGTAGGAAGTAGAAATGGGACTTGAATTCCCTGACCTTGGAGGCCTGCATTTGAGTGTCTGTTGCTCTGATATTGACCTGTTGTTCCAGAATCTACCCCACAAAACACCGGCTCTGCTGACACTCAACATCCCAGAAATGGACACCAAGATATATGAGCAGGGACTGTGCCCTACACAAACTCCCTCTCCCCAAGGACAGCTCAGAAATGTGGGATAGTTTCAACATACGCAAAAGACACAGGAGATTCGTGTGGATGGAAATCAATGAAGCCCTCCCAGCGACTCAGGTAAGCTGAGCACGTTGAAACTCGCACGGATGAATCAGAAAGCACGGTGCTGACAGTGTTCCTGAAGTGGGAAACGTTGAACCTTAACACTGACAACTTTCGTAGTGACCACGTATACCCACTGGTAACTCTTACTGTGGAGCGGACAGGATCCCACAGGGCACACAAAAATAGGGATCCTGCCTTGCAGACACTGAGCATCTCAAAGGACAGCTCAAGAGTGCCGAGGAAAATCACAAGCACTGTCTTCCACCTGGGAAAAACTGCCCTGTGTCGACTGGCTTTGAGTTGGGGTGCAAAGGAGAAATAAGCTTACAAAAGTTAAAAAATGGTTGTATGTGTGTCGGGAATAAAAAAGAAAAACAGGTTAAGGAATGTGGATTATTTCTTTTTCCAAGAATTTATGAGCAGAGAAAAAAGCACGCTCTAAGCTTAAAATCTGGTTGAGAGATCCTCAGATCAACACTTGGAAATCCCCATGGCACGCAGCGGCGGCAGCGTCCCAGTCGCCAAAGGATGACGGCTGAGTTACCCACGTCTGCAGGCAGGCCGAGCGAGAGAAGATTCTCCCACAACTTACTCCCAGGCTCTGGTTAGGAACAGCTGTTTCCAGACCCAGCTTCTATTTTTGTCCTCCCGCACGCTACTACTCAGCAGGTCAAGTCACTTTCAATGGCAAGAGCATATGCTCCTCACTCTGAGGCTTCATCTGCGCAGACTTTTATCAAAGATTCTATTTTTCATTCTTCCCCAGCCGGGATAGCACTGGTTCCCGGAATTGAGGTGAATCACACTGAAGCTCGTGATGAGTGGAATTCACACTAAGTGTTTTCTCACCCAAGATGCTCCATTTTACACTCCCCTGGGAGAGGAGAAGGAAACCCACAAGATGCATGTGAGAGATGTAATAGGACTTTTGCGGGCTCTGTCAACCTGTTACCCACGTGTTATCCGGGCAAATATAAGGAACAAAGATCTCCCGATGTCAATTCTAAAATGAGGGACAAAGACTGGAAGAACAAATTGACAAGTAACTGACACAGTTGGGACATTAGCCAGTAACTACTTACGTAATTAGCCCAACGGCTAAGTCGTCTAAGTCAGAGGTTGGCAAACTTTTTCTCTAAAGTCCCAGAAAGTACTTATTTCAGGCTTTCTCTGAAATTTCTGGGTGGCTTTCTCAGCAACTCAACTGGGCCATTGTAGCCGCGAACCACCCAGGAATAAGAAGCCCACAAATGGCCGTGGGTGCATTTCCATAAAACTTTATTTACAAAGTCAAATGCCGGTTTGCATTGGGCCTACATGCTATACTTTGCACATACCTGCTATACTTTCTGACCTTACTGCATAACATGTGGGTCCCTACGAAAGTTTAGAGACCACCATGTTCTGGTCCATTATTTCACTTCCAAGAAACACTGTTGAGAGCATCCTTTCTGATTCACCTGTGCAAGTTTCAGTCAGTGTTGCTGGGAGGGATTGATTTATTTGTTTCCTATGGTTGTACTTGTAATAATAACCCATGTGTTAAATCCTTCAGTGTTGGGAGGAAATGCCACAGCCAAATCTATTGAAAATTTCTTTGCTTTTACTTAATTCAGCTCCTTCTTAATATCTTCTGCAAGAATGAAAACCAAAACTACCTATCTCATCCTGGAGTATGAAGCTGCTCATGTCCTGCTGTGGTCCACTTTCTGATGTTGCTTCTTGGTTGATCTGAGTCTCATAGGACTGTCTCATTCAACAGCTCATCCTTCCTGACAGTCTAGAAACTTCCACTGCCCCTGACATTGGCTTTCGCAGGATTTTGCCCCACACCCACATCACTTCTACAGCTTCTTGGAAGTTTGGGCAAAATGCCCTTCTGATTTCACTGAGCCTTCTAAGACAACCACTGCAGGTAATATTTTACTACTCTCAATTTCCAGGGTAACTTTCCAGTTGGGGTTTGGGGGATGTATGACACCCCATTCTATGTGTGTCTCTTCATCTCAAAGGGACAAATAGCAAAGCAGTCCTTCAGAACAGTCGACCTGATTTACTGTTGAGTCAACTGAAGTCCGCAACGTAATGCCTTCCAAATACACGATGCTCAGTGTATTTCTTGAATGAAGGAAATAATGAATTAATCAAGAAGAGTATCACTGTGGGTTAAAAAAACAAAACCAAACAACCGTCCAGATGACTTGGTTACAAATTCCTCTTCCCAGCCTCTTCTGGTCTGTCCCCTTTAGCAGGATGTTTCCTCTGCCCGGTACATTCTATTCCCCAAATTTTCTCCACCAGAGTCTCACCTCACAGCTTATCCTTAGACCCTCAGAAGAGAAACCCACTTCCCATTCAGCATTAACTCTGCTTCTTTCTACAGAGAGAAAACAGAAGGCTCCTTCTGGGCACACCTTAAATGTCCAGCCACCAATGTTCGTTCACACCTGCCGGCATCTGCTCCCCGTCTTCCCCCCTGCCTAGAGAACGTCCCTCCTCCTTGCAAAAACCAATCCTCCTTGTAAGTTTTGGATTTCATTTCTTATGATCTTCTCAGATTTCTAATCTTCTCAGTTATCCCTTGTATCTTAATCACCTCTGCATTAAAGCATACTCAGGAGAATCCAGTATGTTCCCATCTTCCCCCAGGACAAATGTCCCCTTTCCGCCCGCGTTTCTCATAGCCAAATTCCTCAACAGGATTTGACAGCTGTCTCAGCTTTAACAACCCTTCAATACACCAGTCCCCTGCCTCTCTCTCCACTAAAAATATACTTCTTAGCACCCTGTACGTGTTCAGCACAAGGCCCTCTGTGAGCTGCTGTCTGACTTGGCTTTGCAGCAACATTCTTTCTGACCTACCTTGCCTGTCCCAGAACCGTCTCTTCTGTCTTGGTTTCTTCCCACCTTCCCAATGGCTTCCTCCATTTTCCCTTTGCTAGGTTTCATCATCTTCCATTTCACTCTTTGCGTTAAAGACCCTGAAGACGTGGCCCTTGAGTCTCTTCTCTCTTTAGGCTGAGTGATCTCAGACCCTCCCCTCAAGCCAAGCAAACAGTGGTCTCTGCCTGGGAGTCCTAACCCCTAAAGGGTACCTCTGTCCACTCGACCACCCAAGCCCAAACACGAGGCATCACTGCTGTCTTCCATTCCCTCCCACCCGACATCCAATCAATTACCAAGACCACGGACTTGCCAAAGCAATCATGCTCTCCACCCTCCTCATCGACTTAAACCATCTACCTTTCAAACCCAAGTGCTTTTTTTGTCCATGTAGTCAGTTAGAAATTATTTCTTAAAACAAGAACCATTCTTGGTTCTGGAAATATAGTTGTGAATAAAACAACTTAGGTACCCTCATAAATCTCAAGCTCTAGTGAATAACAGAAACACCTGTGGCTTGCCAGGCATGGTTTCAGGGCACTTTCCCTGTGCTGACTTCTTCACTGTCATGGGAAGAGCCAGAGGGCTGTGACAACAATCCTGTGATTCTAATTCTAAGCATGAGCACACTGACACACTGAAACCTTACCTAACTC